GATGAGCTGCAAGTCTGTTGTAGGGATGCTCAACCTTTGGCAATTTGATGGGGAGTGGGGAGTGACATTGGAGATTTGCAGCCCTAAATGATTCTGTGATTCTAAGGGAAGGTCTCAGCTGTGCTCATCCTGCGAGGGGGACCCAGCAGGTTATGAGCTCTCCTGCCTACAGGAGCATCCAAAATACTTGCCAAGACTCAGGGCAATGAGGCCGGTAGGCCACGGAAGAAAATGATACGCTCCTGGAGTGGGAAGTCAGCTGAAGAAGAGAAGGACCTGTCACCTTCTTCCCATGACCACTGCAAAAGCAGGAACAGCGTTCAGACCTCTGCCAAGTCCCACCGGGCTCCCCCCTGCCGGCCACTCTTTCACGTCAGTAACTAAACAGCAGGACTGAAATCCTGCCTTTGGTCTGGGCAGTGACATCGTTCTTATCCTGTTAGACAGAATATTTCATCTGCACAGCCAATATTGCGTGCTGGACTATATTTAGCAAGCAGACAGCATCAGATGGTGTTCATTTGTGTGAACATTTTTCCTCCTCTTGTTGGAGGGACTGGTTTGTTTTGAGACATTTAACCTCCTCCATACAAGTGGGTGGGGTTTTTTTTGTTAGTGATGTGTTGAAGCCAAGACTTCAAGTTTTCAGTCACCATTTCATTACTGTTTGTTTTTAAGAATGGGGACTCGGAGGCCACCTGATGAGGCTGGCCAGGAGCCGGCGTCTGCTCCATCTCAGGCATGGTGGGTTTCATTCCTTCACCGTATCATTGGATCTCTTAAAAAAATGCTTATTGACTGACAAGTGAATTGAGGGAGGAAAAAAATCCCATGACGTGCCCCCAGCGCTATTCCTAGTGAATACAGAGAAGAGTACAGAAAAAGAGGAGAACGAGCTGGCACTTGAGAATTTAATCCAGAAGAGGTACAGATGGCTCCTGCTGCTGCAGGAGGCACAATGGCATGGCCACCGCTGGGGCTCCTCGGGGAACGCGGGGCTAAAGCAGGCGAGGTTCTTCCTTGATGCACTGATTCAGGAGGCGGAAGCGGGGAAAGGCTTCCAAGTAGGAGCGGTGTTACCTTACAGAGCAAGATCAAACCAAGTAGGAAATACTTCAGAGTGGACAATGTTTATGTAAATATTCCCCCCCACACACCCCAGAAGCTCTTATTGGGCACCAGAACCATTTCAGCAG